GCTGTGCCGTGGGGGAGTGGATTTCACCCCCCGCAGCACCCTCAGCCTTTGCCTGACCTTCTGCCAGGGGTGTGTGGGCATCCCTGGGGTTCAGCCACCCCCGGGTGCTGCCTTGTGCTGCTGTGTCTGGAGGGGCAGGGAAAGGTTGCCTTGTGCCGCTGATTTTTGGAGCGGCATGGGGAACTACATGCTTGCAGAGGGTCTCATGCAACTGTAGCTGTTACTTGTGTCCCATCAGCTGCTGTGCCTCAGTTCCCCATCGCATGTCCCCACCCAGGGCTACTGCTTTGGGGGGAAATAGGGGTGAGGGGGTACATGGTGGTTTGCCTTGTTCCCCGAATCAGTGCTGACCATCCACATGAGCCATTTCTAGGGCTCTTTACACAACCATGTGGATGTCTAAAATCCCTCCTGGCCCACTCAGATCTGTGTCCAGGCAGGAAAAGGACACTCCTCCACCCCCAGATAGCCACCACTGGCTGTTTGCTGCTCCCCACCCCAAGTGATGACACCATTCAAATTTCAGTCAAATCTGTCTGAGTCCTGGGTTTTGCATGTGCCCACGGGCACAGCACAGCTACAAGTGATCAGCACCAGGCACCTGCCCTGTGCCAGCCTCACACCCACAGGTAAGTGCAGACTTTGCCTTGCCATAACAACCCCAAAATCTCCTGGAGTCACAGGCTGCTCCATCATGGGGCTGGAAACCTCCCCCCAGAGCACAATGATGTGCTGTCCCCATCCTGGGGGAGCCCTCTTTGGGGATGCAGAGCTGGGAGGGCTTGGAGCGGAATGCAGTGGTGGGATATGGCACTAACATCCCCATTCACAGCCCCACGTTGCACTGGACCCTGCCATGGATGAGTGGGACCTCCCACAGTGGAAGAAGGAGGTGGAAAGCCTCAAGTACCAGCTGGCCTACAAGAGGGAGATGTCCTCCAAGACAATACCTGAGTGAGTGGGTGCCCAACCTCCCTCCTGCCCTTGCTCCTATCCCTGTGCCAAGAACAGAGTCTAACTCTTCACCCCACAGCCAGCACCACCATCCCTCCTCAAATCCCCCGGAGCTCCCTAAATCAGATTTCCCCTTTATGGATCTTCAAGCCCCATCAGCAGAAAACCACAGGTGTCCTCAAAGCCTCCTAAGGTCCTCTCTGCAAAGCCCCCTGGTGCTGACCCCTTTCCACCTGCCCAAGTTCTGGTGGTGGTCAGGTTGTGGCAGCAGCCGTGGGAACCCCTGACACCCAGGTGCCCCCTGGGAGTCTTCCGTGTGCAGAACCTTCTCTTTCCAGAGCTCAAGAGACTTAAACCTGTAAAACCAAGTCATAGACAGGTGTTTTCCCTCCTTGTTTTTTATCTCTGTGCTTCAGTGGATCAGGGTACACCCTGATATTGCTGCCACCTGAGCATGGTGCACCCCAGAGCAGGATTTACCCTGGGCACTGAGTTTCCCCCAATCCCTCCCTTTTGCTGCCACACAGCCTCTGCCCTGCTCCCCTCGAACCTGCTGTGGGCAGAGGCTGTGCCCACTCCTCCACTCCCCTCTCTGCAGGTTTGTGAAGTGGATTGAGGATGGCATTCCCGAAGATCCCTTCTTGAACCCGGAGCTGATGAAAAACAACCCCTGGGTGGAGAAAGGCAAATGCACCATCCTCTGAGGGGTCCCCCCTGGCGAATCCCCCAGCTCTCTCCTATTAGCTAGTTCCAATATGACAACCTGAACTAAAACCCTGCCCTCACCTGGTGTCCTTCTTTTCAGTGGTAGAAGTGGTTTTATAGATGGGGGGATATGGGGAAAGTCCCCCAGGGATGGGCAGTGTGGGGGGACAGGAGCAGCAAAGGTTTCTCTGGGGTTTTGCTCCAGTTTTATCTCAGACCTCCACTCACCTCTGCCAGCAAACAGGCAGATTGTGCAACTTGTAAAGAAAACTTTTATAAAAACACATCTTCAGGGGTTTGAAATACTTTTGTATACTGTAGGCTATCATTTTGCAGCAAAGCAGGCCAAATATGACAACTAAAGGTTTATAAATGAAATAAACAGAATAATACTTCATTATTAATTTTTTTAGATATATTTA